TTTTTTTTTTTTTTTTTTTTTTTTTTTTTTTTTTTTTTTTTTTTAGTATGGAGGCTCAAGTATCAGATGTAGATTCAATTTAAGCTTTACAAAAAAAACCAAAAAATAAACCAAAACAAAACCCCCTTATTTTTTTATTCTTTTTTTTTCTTTTTTTTTGCATTCCATAAAAATTGACAGAAAAGCGCCCCGGAACCAGGCTATAGAAGAGCAGAACTTTTCAGCAGGTCTCCTAAAATCAACCTTCTCTTTCCAAGTGGGGTTTGGGTCAAATCTAAAACAACCCCGAGGAACAGCCTCTCGTCCGTTTTTTTTTGCCACGGGAGTCAGGAGGAAGGAGAAGCACCTCAACCCCGGCTTAGAGGAAAACCAAACTCAGCTGCCTGTTTTAATCCGGAAAGCAGAAGGCGAAGTCAACACTTGGGTGAGTAAAACCAAAAGCAAAACTCACTCTTAGCAAGGATGGCACCAAAAGACGTGCTTCCCCAAGAAGCTCCAGCTGGAGGGAGATTCCCCAATTTTTTTTTTTTTTTTTTTTTTTTTGAACCTTCCAGGTTGGAAAAAGCCCCGTGTGCCACCAGCAAAGGGTGTTAGCGCTCTCGCTCCCCACGTCACCCTGATGGGAAGGCAGAGAAAAGCCAAACCTCCACCCAGGCAGCTGAAAAGGACCGGGGCAGCTCCTGAACCTTTATTTTTTTTTGCAGACTGTTCACCCAGGGTCCAGCAGCCGCTTCGGAATATTCACCAGCTGGAAAAGCAGCTGGAGATTCTGTTCCTCAATTTGTTTTTGGAGTTTGAACCTTTCTGAGAGACATTCAGGAATCAAAGCAGCCGAAGAACAGAGCTCCCCTCAGCACCACGACTGCGGGGCGTCCCTTGCGCTAAGACTTGGGTTATGGAAGAAAAGCCACATCTTTTAGGGGCCACCTGGGCTCCCTGCCCTGAAGATGGTTGAGGAGGAACCTCCATTTTCAATGGTACAATTAAGAAATGTCCACTTTTTAGAAAGCCCTCTTCAATATGATCATTGACAGAATAATAGCACTAGACTTTCCAGGAGTCGCCACCACAGAGAAGTGGTGAGGGTCCAGTTCGGAAGGATTTCTGCCCACATAAACCGTATTTCACACCCTTTTCAGTCCTCAAAGCCTTATTTTGCCTGGATGCTGTCTCCTGTAAACAAGGCTGCTCTTTGTGTGAGTTATTTTCCTAATATTTTTATAACAGTATTTCCATTCTCTTGTCTCTGGAGACTTCCGCTGCTTTAATAAAAACATATACGTTTTATATTTGCATTTGTCACAGGCTAAAGAAGTAGTTCTTGGCCATTAACAACAAACAGTGCATTTTCCCCTTCGTCAGCTTTTAACGTGTTTTAAGACAACATCTGTAACTCGTTAGGAATGGGAGTGGAAGGTTAAAGCAGCTCAGGGTTAGTCGCTGCCGTGCGCCCGAGACGTTCAGAGCTCCAGAGCAAACGAGAGCTACCGACAAACCCCGTGGGAGGGGGCAAGGGGGGGCCTGAAATGGTTCAGCAGAGCTCAAGGAGGGCTGGATTTCAAGCTCCAAGGAAATCCAAGACAGGGCAGGCAAACACAGGATGAGATAAGCTCGTGTTTACTCAGAAGTCATGGGAAGTACCAGTCATATATATTTTTTTTTTTCAATTTTTTTTTTCAAAACTGTGAGACTTCAAAGATTTTCATATATATTTTTTTTTTTAATTTTTTTTTTCAAAACTGCGAGACTTCTAAAATTTCAGTCCTTTCTGCAAGGAGGGCACTAAGATGACAGGGGGTTTCTTCACTGAAGTGATACCACAGCTGTAAAAAAACTGGTGGTGCACAAGGGACACACACAGTCCTGGGGCTTTGAATCAAGATCGAATGGGTCCGAGGTGACACCACGTTGGGTACGTGGCCACGTGCTCTTTACTTGCTCTCAAGCCAGAGTGTGAAGTGGTAAGTTCCTGCCACATCTCAGAGCGTGATGTTTCAGATGGTGGGGGGGTAAAGGGTGGAGTAATATTTAAAATAAAGAAAAGAAAAGAAATCAGAACATTTAGTTGGCCGTATTAAGAAATAACCCTTGGGTGAAACACGGATCAAAGGTCGTTTTTTCAGTCTGCAGGAGTTAGGGGTTAGTTCTGGTCTGGGTTATCATGCAGAGCCCTGGTGAGTCCTGGTTTAGTGCTGGTTGTCACACCTCACAGGCGGCGGGGGGGTACCTGGATCGGTTTAGTTATCAGGCTGGATGTAGATCTGGCGCTGGGTCAACACTTGAGAAAGCTCCCTCTGCAACTGCTTATACTTTTGGTTGTCGGGGATAGCATCAATAGATCTACAGAGAGCAGTTTAGAAAACCAGGGAAGTAAACAGGGAAAAAGAACAGTCAGAAGAACTCAGTGACACGGAGCTGGTATTCTGGAAACCGCCAGGAGCACGCTCCGGGAAGGGAAAAAAAAAACCAACAAAAAATAAGTGTAAATACACAGGTTAGAAGAAAGAGGGGAAAGGCTGGAGGAGAAGGCAAAAGGTGGACGCTCTGGGTGTTACCAGGTCCCAGCAGATCATCTCACCGACGCGCAAAGCACCATGACTCAACGGGGAGACACAGGAAAGAGTCAATTACTGAAGCTTAAGGCAACGTTTGCAAGGAAAAAAAGACTGTATTACATATTTCCTTTTCATCTTAATAAATGCTTCCCGGCTAAACCCCTGCACAGCACAAATGAAAATAGAAGCCTGTTATGAAAGCTGGGGTTTGGGGAAAAAAAAACCCAGAACAGCTGCTTTCTCAGACACCATCGTCTCCCTCTGCCCGTGCTGTTAAAAAGGCAGCACAAATATTTAATTAGCACCATTATTCTATCTTCTTTCCCGTTTGAGCAGGTGAGAGAACAGCAGCACAGCTATTTGCCCCCTTTGGTTACTCTACATCATCACACGGCGCCAGGAGCTCTATCTGCAGTTCAAAATGACATGATTTGGCATCACAGCTCTGTACTCTCCTCTACGAGCACAAGAACTCCCAGCTTGGGATTTCTGTGTGAAATTCCTGACCAGAAATGAGCAGGGAGCACAGAAAAGCACAGAACAGTTTCCCTACGGAAAGGCACAGGGGGTTTATTCACTTAAATCCGTTCTAGTACGTTCTAATTTGACCAGCGGTGTTGAGAGAAAGAGAGAATTTAAACCAAAGTCTAAATACCACACACCACTAATGACATGACTTAATTCTGGAACCCACTGACTGTTTTTAAGAATAGCAGAAAGAGACGGCAGAATTTAAACACAACTTTCAGGGCTGTGAAGAATAAACCTCCTAATTAAAAATAATTCTGAAATGCAAGTGTTGCCAATGGGGCTATTTTCTTCCTGGTGAGGGAACAAAGGATTAAATCGTTGCTTCAAACTCCTATAGTTACCAGTTCCTTAAACTCCACAAATCAAATCCTATTTCCAAAGCGGAGTGAGGGGAATAAATAGGGAGATGAAAAGACTTTGTGTGGGAAAGGGGAGTTCCAGCCACAAACTCAATGCTCGGCCAGGGACAGCACCCCAGGGCATCTGACAGCCAGCACAGAGCCCCTTACCTCAGCCCATTCACGATGTCCTTTGTTTTTCCAAAATAAATCTCATTCAGTGTACTTCTGATTTTGTTTTCCATGTCCTAGAGGGAAAAAAAAATAAATAATTATGAAACCAGATCTTTAGTCACGTGGGCTGCTTTCAGGAACAGTACTCTCGCACTCTTCCCGACAGCCAGCACAGAGCCCCTTACCTCAGCCCATTCACGATGTCCTTTGTTTTTCCAAAATAAATCTCATTCAGTGTACTTCTGATTTTGTTTTCCATGTCCTAGAGGGGGAAAAAAAAAAAGAAAAAAGTAAGAAACCAGATCTTAGTCACATGGGCTGTTTTCAGGAACAGTACTCTCACACTCTTTTGTGCACCACACGTATAAAAAAAGACATTGAGATGCTGAAGAGGGTCCAGAGAAGGGCAAGGGAGCTGGTGAGGGGTCTGGAGCACAAGTCTTGTGAGGAGAGGCTGAGGGAGCTGGGGGTGTTCAGCCTGGAGAAAAGGAGGCTGAGGGGAGACCTTCTGGCTCTCTCCAACTCCCTGAAAGGAGGGTGTAGCCAGGGGGGGTCGGTCTCTTCTCCCAAGGAACAGGCCATGGGACAAGAGGAAATGGCCTCAGGTTGTCCCAGGGGAGGTTCAGATTGGAGATTAAGAACCTTTTCTGTGGAAACATTTTTCCTAATCCTTGGCCTGGGCTGCCCAGGGCAGTGGTTGAGGCCCCATCCCTGGAGGTATTGAAAAGACGAGTTGACCTAGGGCTTAGAGACATGGTTTTTATCA